ATAAGTATCAGCATTTACCTTGACATGTCATTTCTACTGTGACACTCACTTATGTAATCTTCCATCTGGGGGCCTTGAAAAGTGGTCACTGGGTATCTTTTTAAAAATGTTCTTTATAAACAACATAACTGACATATGAAACTTTCAACCCCTTTATAGTTTGTGTTGTCAGTGTTGTTCATTCAGTTATGAGGAATCCTTGAGTCCTTTCTATTAATGTATCATTTAGAAATGCATTTCTGCATACTGTAGATAGAGTTAAATCTTCTACATTTTTTTTGCTAATATAAACACTTTAGCAATGCTAATCAGTTGTACTGATTTTCTGTTTTGATTTTCCTTAATAATTAAGCAAAAGAACTAGGATGCAATCAAGTTGTACACTAGGGGGTTCATGCAAATAGTTGAGTCTTCTTTTTTACATTAATCTTTTTTGTTAGAGGCATTCAGTAGGAAATTTATTGACATTTTAAGAAAAGGAAATACAATTTACCTGCATAATCTGCTTTAATAAGGGAAATCGCTGCTTCATTGGAAATTAAACTGCAAGTGCACAACTTTTCATTCCTGGTTAATATAGCTCATTGACTACCACAGTATTAATGCTACTTAAGGAGCTTTCAAATCTTGACATGCATAGAACAAAGGGCTTGTGTAGCTGAGAAGTGCAGAAACCCATGAATGCAATTTAGCTCAGCCTAGTCTTATGCTGGTTTTTCCTCAACTGTGCTCTGGTACTAGAAGCAAATCTAGAATGGATATTGCTGCTTACAGGATATTTGCAGTTCAACAGCACCATGTTTGCTTTGAATGCAGAAGATCCCCGATTCAATACCTGGCATCTTAGCTAGGAATGTTGTCTGTCTAAAATGCCAGAGAGCTGCTGTTAATCAGTGTTGACAATACTGAGCTAGATGGACCAGTGGTGTGGCTTGTTTTAAGGTGGCTTTCTATGTTCCTAGGCAGCAGTCTTGCTTGCTGTGGCTACACTGGTGTCTTGTGCAATAAACATAAACTTCTAAGAGCAGAGTCACGTCCCATGCACAAGCAAATATTTACCAGTGATCTATGGCTTGTTGGAAACAAATGCATCCTAAAGGCCATTCACTGTCATTCTTTTAGTCCACAGGTGTCAAACACAAGGCCCGCGGGCCGAATCCGGCCCACCAGACCTCGTCATGTGGCTCGTGTAGTCATGTGGCTCGTGTAGTCTGGTCTATATATATCTGTGAGGGAAGCTTGGGCTGCGGCACGCGCGCAGGGCGCCTCGGGTCCCTTCTGTTTTGTTTTTTTTTTATAAATTTTTTATTAGTTTTCCAGACATGTGGTAAAAACAAACAACAAAACAAAACAAAACATACACACAAATAAACATGTACAATTTCATAGACTCATTCTCCTTCACCTTGTTTCCCGGACTTCCCCATACCTCCCTTTTTCTGCATCCTTATTTTTCCCTTTTAACAGCAACCCTTCATTTCATTATTAATTCATCTTCATTATAGCTCCCTTAAATTTATGATATACAGCTGCAATTCTCTATTTCTTAACACCATAACATCTCAGCACTCTTCAATTTTACAACAATTTTTAAGGTATACTTTAAATTTCTTCCAATCTTCTTCCACTGTCTCTTTCCCCTGGTCACGGATTCTGCCGGTCATCTCAGCCATTCCCATGTAGTCAATCACCTTCGCTTGCCATTCTTCCAGAGTGGGTAGCTGCTGCGTCTTCCAATACTTTGCCAGAAGAATCCTTGCTGCTGTGGTAGCATACATAAAAAAAGTTCTGTCCTTCCTTGGCACCAATTGGCCCACCATGCCCAGGAGAAAAGCCTCTGGTTTTTTAGAAAATGTCCATTTAAGGACCTTTTTGATTTCATTGTAGATCATTTCCCAGTAGGCCTTAATCCTCGGGCAGGTCCACCAAAGGTGATAGAAAGTACCTTCAGTTTCATTACATTTCCAACATTTATTATTGGGCAAGTGGTAAATTTTTGCAAGTTTGACTGGGGTCATATACCATCTATAAATCATTTTCATTATATTTTCTCTCAAAACATTACAGGCCGTAAATCTAACACCAGTATTCCACAGCCTTTCCCAGTCTTCAAACATAATGTTATGACCTATGTCTTGTGCCCATTTAATCATAGCTGATTTTACTGTTTCATCTTGTGTGTTCCATTTCAGCAGCAAATTATACATTCTTGACAAGTTCTTAGTATTGGGTTCTAACAATTCTGTTTCTAATTTCGACCTCTCCATCTGAAAACCTATTTTCCTGTCCTGTTTGAATACCTCGTTTATCTGAAGGTAATGCAGCCAATCTCGTACTTTAGACTTTAGTTTATCATAACTCTGTAATTTGACCCTTTCACCATCTTGCTCTAAGATTTCACCGTATTTTGGCCATTTGGACTCCATGTTAAGTTTTTTCGTCTCTTTAGCTTCCATTGGTGATAGCCACCTGGGAGTTTTACTTTCCAGTAGATCTTTATATCTTATCCAAACATTATATAGTGCTTTCCTAACAATATGGTTTTTAAAACCTTTATGTATTTTTACCTTGTCATACCATATATATGCATGCCAACCGAATCTATTGTCATAACCTTCCAGATCCAAAATGTCTGTGTTCTCAAGAAGCAGCCATTGTTTCAGCCAGCAAAACGCTGCCGATTCATAGTAGAGTCTCAGGTCCGGCAGGGCAAACCCCCCTCTTTCTTTTGCATCAGTTAAGATCTTAAAGTTTATTCTGGGCTTTTTGCCCTGCCAGACAAATTTTGATATGTCTTTTTGCCACTTCTTGAAACAGTCCATTTTATCTAAGATCTGAAGTGTCTGAAACAAAAACAACATTCTAGGCAATACATTCATCTTGATGACAGCAATTCGGCCTAACAAGGAAAGTCTCAACCGTGACCATATTTCTAGATCTTTCTTCACCTCTATCCAGCATTTGTCATAATTGTCTTTAAATAAATTCACATTTTTAGAAGTCAAGTTCACACCCAGGTACTTCACTTTTTTTGTTATTTCTAAACCTGTTTCCCTCTGAAGTTTCTCTTTTTCTGCCATTGTTAAATTTTTCTCCAACACTTTAGTTTTCTGCTTGTTCAATTTAAATCCTGCCTCGGGTCCCTTCTGCGCAGGCACAGGCCTCCCCCTCCTCTAGCTACCTAGCCGAGACTTATTTGACACAGCGAGGGCGGGGTTAGATATGGGAGGCCGCCGCTGCTGCTCTCAACTTCTTTTTGGGCTCGCCGGGGTGAAATAAGTCCCGGCGGGAGCACAGCGTGCCTGCGCGAGGTGGAACGCGGAGAAGGGCAGAGCCGGCTTCGCGCGCGTTGGAAAGAGGGAGACCGAGAGCGCGCTTGTGTTTCAGGAGCGCGCCCTGTGAATACTCGGGGCGGCATACTTTTGCTTTTCTTTTCTTTTCTTTTCTTTATTTCTTTAGGCGGCTTTCCGCGCTGCCCAATGAACAGCATCCTCCGCCTCTGGGGATTCGCGATTCAAAAGCAAATTCGATACGCAAGTGCATGTTTTGTAAATAACGTCAGGCGCGGCTTCCGCAGGGTGCGCGTTACAAAAAAATTATATATGGGAAAAAAGCTGATAAGGAATTGGTTTATTTTTTAGGGTATTTACACATCATGCAATTTTTCCCTCAATGTTATTACAGGGTCCGGCCAGCAGTTCCCGCCCTCCTCAAAGGTTTAGGGTAGGTAGCAAAGGGGAAAAAATCCAAACAAATGCTCCTGTACTTACAGACCCTCCAAGCATCCCTATTTTCCAGGGATGTCCCTGAATTTAGAGAAGCTGTCCCGGTTTCTGATTTGACCCTAGAATGTCCCGCTTTTCCTCAGGATGTCCCTAATTTCATTGGAGAAATGTTGAGGGTATGGTAGAATGTCCCTATTTTCATCAGAGAAATGTTGCAGGATATGGAGTTATCCGACCCTTGAGCCATCTAAAGGCAGCCCTGTATAGGGAAGTTTTTTTAATGTTTAATGTTTTATTATGTTTTTCTATATATTGGAAGCCTCCCAGAGTGGCTGGGGCAACCCAGTCACATGGGCCGGATATAAATAGTAAAATTATTATTATGGAATAGGACGTACCTGTTTTCTTCAGATAAATGTTGGAGGGTATGTACTTACACAGCTCAGGACCGCAATACCTCAAGGACCGCCTTTCTCCATATGAACCTACCTGGACCCTGAGAACATCTTCTGAGGCCCTTCTTTGTGTGCCTCCCACATGATAAGCCCAGAGGGTGGCAATGTATCTTTTCTGCAGTGGTTCTCCATTTGTGGAATGCTCTCCCCAGGGAGAATCTGCTGGCATCTTCATTATATACCTTTAGGTGCCAGGCGAAAACATTCCTCTTTAACCAGGCCTTTGGCTGATTGACATCCAATACCCTTTTAAAATGTGTTGTGGAAGGGGGGATAATTGGGTTGTTTTTGCTTTTGTTATGTATTCTGTGTTTTTATAGTGTGATTTTATGTTGTGAACTGCCCTGAGACCTGTGGGTATAGGGCCGTATACAAATCAAATTAAATTAATTAATAATAGTAATTATACTCATTAGTTGGAAGTAAGCACCACTTAACTCAGTGGAACCTACTTTTGAGTAGGCATGCTTATGACTCCACTGCATATTAAATAAACAAAAGTGACCTGTGTGATCTAGTCTGTTGCATCCGAGAACTGCATCCTAGATCATCCCCTACATTGCTGAAGAAGATATTAAAATGCAGTTATCAACTACTTCATGTCACTGGAAGTATGAGTTCTTCCCCACTTATACAATGATACACCTGTGCCAAGTTTATTGTGCTTTCCACCATTCAGACACCAGTTCTTATTTTCATATATCCACTCCTATAGTCCCATCTGAAACAGGTTGCTTCATCCTCCATCAGTGCAAGGTTGGACTTGGTTGTAACAAGTACCTAACAGTAATATTAGCAATTGTTTTCTCTTTTCACACAGGGCTATTCTGTGAAAAAGATGGTTCTTTATTTGGACTGGTTTGTTCACTTCCGTCTCATACTTTTGTACCACTGGGTGACCGCAACTTTATCCCTAAATCTTGAGGATCCAAATGTCTGTAGCCACTGGGAGAGGTAACATTTAAGAGCTATTTTGCTAGTAGTTTATGTTCATGTTTATGTTTGTTTAAAGTGCATACTGCATGTATGAAAACAGATCTGTGTGCTCTATATTCCAAAGCAGCTATATAGAAAAAAATGCATCACTGAGCCACACACACACACACACATATATATTATACTTTAAAATATCCATGCCTGGAATGGGAAATAGAAACCATTACAGTGGTACTTTGGGTTACAAACACTTTGGGTTACAAATTCCACTAACCCGGAAGTAGTACCTTGGGTTGAGAACTTTGTCCCAGAATGAGAATGGAAATCACGCGCTGGCAACGCTGGGGCAGTAGGAGGCCCCATTAGCAAAAGCATACCTCAGGTTAAGAACGGTTTCGGGTCAAGAATGGACCTCCAGAACGAATTACGTTCGTAACCCGAGGTACCACTGTATAAATACCAGACACACTATAAATGGAAACCTTTAATCCAATTAACTCTGTGGGAGAATGTGCATATTCAAATTAGCCCTATTGGAAGCCATCCAGGTATAATTATGAAGCTTTTAAAATCTACCTTAAAACTTGTTGGTTTAATTATTTTCACATGGGAGGAAAATACAGCTATAATTTCAGTGCGGTGTGTCTTCCACTGGCAACTCTGTGCATACAAAGGGATGTGTGCACAGAGCTGTCTCCTTTGCTTAAATGAATGAAGGAATTACATATACAGGAGGAGCACAGCATATCCACTGGAGTTCTCATGCATACAGAGAGTTGAAGGGCTGTGGGTGAACATTTAGCACCATACCAAGCTTGCAAAAGCAAATTCAGATGCTTTTTTTACTCATTTTGGAGCCTTCAATTTTTTGTGTCTTTTCATGTAAACATCTGAAACATTGATTCCATGTTGTTTGATCCAGCGTTAGTTGTACTTAGACCTACTGAAATCAATGGGATTTGCCGTAAGTTTGCCTAAATTTAAGTTTCATAGATTTCAAAAGGTCTTCTCTAAGCATAACAAAGTCTGAATCTAGCCCCTAAAACTAGTAGAAACCATCATATATATATATGTTTGACTGGTGATTATTTCTAAATATAGTATTCTTTCATTCTTCTTCCAATATTCAGGGGTGTGGCAAGAGGGAAGAACATATAAACCACCATCTGGAAAGTTACCATACCACTAGCAGTTGCACTGGAATAGATGGTAGTCAACAAATTACTTGTTGCTGCTTGAATCTTTGGCAATCCTAAAGGATATTTCCAACTAAATTGCGAACGTAGGGGGAAAGAATGAGATACTAGCTTCGAAGTGAATTAAGAATGAGCAGAACACCAGGTTTATGCAGCACACCTATGAAACTCACTGGGACTTATTTTATAGTAGGTTAGCATAGGAGCATGAGACACCTTAGTGAAATTACACTTTTTTCTTTGGCAATGATAAACAGAAACAGCTGTCCTGTGTAATTCATGTAGGTGCTCTCCAAGGAACCTTTATAGTTACTGTATTTAGACTTTTCGTACATATTTTTGAGGGGTATTCATTCATTTTAAAAAAAAAACAAAACAAGTTTATTCAGATGAGCGCCACATACTGAAACTGCTATAGATTTGGAATTAAGGAAGCAGGATTTCAATTCTCACATATTCAAATCTAAGTGGCGAGATTGCTTTTCTAGGTGCAAATCACATTTCCTCACATTTTGTGGTCCTCATTTTCAGAGTAAGAATATTTGTATGGATCATCCAACTGTAGCACCACATTTGCTATATTAATGGAAATTTTATTAAAATGTTAACTATGAACAATAGTGCAGAAAAGCATTCTGGTTCACAATCCATTTCTAATGATAGAAAGTGGAAGAAAACATTGCCTTAAAAAGTGGGAAACTCCTTTAGTAGATGCTGGCTGAAAACAGGCACCTACTTTCTGGGCTGTGACAAAACATTAGATGAATATATGCACTCAGATCTGCACCAAAGAAAAAAGTTTGCCGCTCATCCTCATAGTTTACAATACTTTTCTGCAATCAAAGATGTAACTATAGTAAGCAGATAGTATTTGATGTAGAACTTAAAGACTAATTGATTGGTTTTGTCTGAAACAGGGTGAGTGTTCACTTGCACAGATAATATCTCTGAAATGTTGGTAAACCTATATATTTGTTTCCCTCGTAATTATACTTTATTTCACTTAACAATCGTTCTAGTAGAGTACGTACTTAATATTTTTGTTTTGTTTCTGTGCAGCTATTCTGTTACAGTACAAGAATCCTATCCACACCCTTTCGATCAAATTTACTATACCAGCTGCACAGACATTCTGAACTGGTTTAAATGCACACGGCACAGGTGATTCGCTTATAAACAATAAACTATGTTCTTATATTGATTTGCTAGAATAATCCTTCGTAGGTGATTAATGATTGTTTCAGGTTAAAAAGAGTCTAGAATAATTTATATCAAGCACAAACGAGATCATATGAGTGCAACCATAGTTTGCATGCCGGCATGTGTGTGCTTCTGGGTATAAGTTATCCAAAGTAAGACTATGAGGTAGATAATCCTCTCAAGTGCTCACTGTATTTTACAAAGGATTATTGGGCTGTGGAAGATTGTGTGAGGCACTAGTGTGAAAATATGTTCCCTTTCTTTAGAGAATTACAGAGAGACTTGTAATGTTGATGCAGTGGCTTATTCAGTTTTTACTATCTGAAAATAGGAATTGATCAAGCAGTTCTGTAGCATGCCTGCCATGTATTTTGATGGATCTTGTTATATGGAATATAACCATAGAGGGTGGTCATTTTTCAATGCTTCTTGAACAGTAGAGAAATGAGGGCACTTCAGATTTTATGCTTGTACTGATGGTGCCATGAGCCACTGCAGTAACGTATGCTGTGACTCTGGCATGTGTTTTTCTCATGGCGGCCCCAGTTCCCTGGAATTCTCACTTCATTTTCTGCCAAGCCTCCCCAAATTACTGTATTTTATATCTGTTCTTAGTAATGATAGGATTAATGGTTTTTCTTTCTTTCTCTACACCACACAGGTATTCCTTGAATGTAGAGCAATTACTAAATTCTGAAATAAATAAATTCCTCTTCGAGTTCAGCTCAATTAAATCAGTGTGTATAAGTACACAAATTCTGCTGTGTTAACCCTATGCTGGACACTCAAATCTATCCCCTAAGGGGTAGCAAATGTGGTGTTCTCCAGATGATGTTGGATTGCAGCTTTCATCATCCTAAACCTTTGGCCATGATGATGGAGTCTTGTGGGAGATGGAGTCCAACAACATCTGGAGGGTAATGACTACCTTTGGGATAGATTGGCTATGTCTGATCAATCCAGTTTCCCACATATGAAGGATGCATTGCTGGCTTGAGTTCTAATAATTATTCAGCTTGTTTATGTTTGTATCTGAAAGTCTTAAGATATTTTTTGAAATAGTTGAACAGTCCAATATAGAATTAGTGGGAGGAATACTTAATTAACAAAGGAAAAGGAGAGTTGATTTATAGGTCAGCAATATCCCTAATTATCCATAGTTGGTTATATTCAAGTACTTGTTAACAAATTTTGCTTTCATGTGTTTTAATAGAATCAGTTACCGTACTGCCTATAGGCATGGAGAAAAAACTATGTACAGGCGGAAATCTCAGTGTTGCCCTGGATTTTATGAAAGCAGAGAAATGTGTATCCGTAAGTAAACTGATTTTTGCTACTATCACATTAGAATTTGCTTAAGTAATCAAGATTTCAGTTCTATGTGTGCAACTTTTGGAGAAGTGTATTAGTGTTTCCCGTGACTATCTGATCTCTGAGAACAGGAGTCCAAATGACCATTGCCTGAGAACTCAAGTGCTTCTTTAAAGAAATGTAAGGCTGGTTTGGTGATTTGCTGATGAGTATCTTGACAGCCACTGTGGGGCAATTGAGGGGAAAGCACACAGTAGCTGACGGGAGGCAAGGGTAAAGTCAGGGGCTGTCTTCATTTGGCACTGTGCAAGTGAGAAGTTGCTGACTGTCTTATCAATCCGTGGCATTGACTGCTGACACTAACAGAGGCTCTTAGTCAGTTAGTTTGTTCCCAAGCCCAATGCAACACGCTCACATTAGTGTTCAAAGTCCTTAAACGACTTATGCCCCAAATATCTGGGGGGGAACACCTCCTTCCCTACATATACTCTTAGGGTACACATCAGCAGAGGGAGGTAAAAAAGGTAAAGGACCCCTGGACGGTTAGGTCCAGTCAAAGGCGACTATGGGGTGCGGCGCTCATCTCGCTTTCAGGCTGAGGGAGCCGGCGTTGGTCCACAAACAGCTTTCTGGGTCATGTGGCCAGCATGACTGAACTGCTTCTGGTGCAACAGGACACTGTGACAGACACCAGAGTGCATGGAAACGCTGTTTCCCTTCCCATCGCAGTGGTACCTATTTATCTACTTGCACTGGCATGCATTCGAGCTGCTAGGTTGGCAGGAGCTGGGACAAAGCAATGGGAGCTCACCCCGTTGCGGGAATTCCAACTGCCGACCTGCTGATCGGCAAGCCCAAGAGGCTCAGTGGTTTAGACCACAGTGCCACCCACGTCCCATCTTGAGGGAGCCATCTTGGTAGCTCCACTGCTCTAATAAGTTCAGTGTTTGTGTGGCTTGGGAGAGGGCATTTTCTGTGGCAGCTACTAGATGGAGCCTGGCACCTTCATTGTAAAGTTTCCATTGTATGTTAAAGACGGACCACTTTGCCCTGGCAATCGATACCTGAGATATACTTCTTCAGGACCCACCCTATTACTATGATTATGATTTGTTTTAAACTGTTTTTAAAATTTGATTTCAAATTGTTGAACCTGCCTTGGGACTGTAGGATAAAGGGCAGGTAAGGAATCGAATAGATTGTAGTCACAGTACTGATATTTGTGTGGTTCTGCTAAATGCCCTCAGCCTCCATCATTGCTTTCCAATTGTTTCTTGTAAATGACAATCTTTACCCTTCTCACTTTATTGCCCCACAAGGGCAGCTGGCAATTCCAAATATTTATTTTTCAAATGATTCCAGTAATGGCCAGATAATAAGAAGTGGGCTTTCAGTAGTTGCACATTAACATCTGGTAAGCATGTTGACCTCTGTCTTTGCAGAATAGTCTATATCTTTCACACAAATAACCTCTTCAGGCAGACTTTTCCATGTCTGAGAGCACCAGTGCACACAAAGTAATGTGATTTGCATGTTTGGAGTTGCCTCTAACATGTAAGAGAAAATGAAGTTCATATGTGAACCCTGATGGAGCTTTGGAGAGAAAAGTGTTTTGTTGTCAAAATTTTCTATTTTTGATGTCCAATATCTTCTTTGGTTTAAGGGCTAATGTAGTGTATCATTGCAGTACAGGCACTAATATCTGAAAAGAATATTAACTTTGCAGAACTGAAAAGTATGTGTTAATTAGGGATTCAATTACAACTGCTAATACCTAATAGAATTCAGATAAAATGTATTGTTTGGATTATATACTGGATGACAGCAGTTGTTTGTCCTCAGGTAGGAAGGAAGTATCACAGAGCACTTAATCGTCAGTGCTTCCCATCTTTGAAAGTAATTCTAGAATTCATTTAGTTTGGTATACTTTTTTTAAAGCTAGTAATCATATAAATGTTCAGTTCTAAAGAGGCTTGCTACAATTAAGTCTTTATAGGATTGTAGCCTTAGTGTGTATTTAACTACAACATTTTTTAAAAAAAAGATTCTCAGCACATAGTTGAGATTCTTAAGTGAAAACAGAAAAGGAGACAGAAATACAGGTCTAACATTATTGTGTTGGAGTTATCAGTATGCTTTCATATAGCTGTAGGGTCATTTCTTTATGGAGCCCAAAAAGCATTGTGCCTTATGGAGTGACACCAATTGGTTACTGCTACATTAATCCAATGTAGGATTAATGTAGCTCTGGTCCATGGGGTCACGAAGAGTCGGACACGACTAAACGACTAAACAACAACAACACATTAATCCAAACTTCAGTCCATAGTAGACCTTCCTGTGCAGGTGTCTTAGGGGCTTGCATGTCTGTTTGTCTTGACTTCAACAAGAAGATTTGATAGTAATTGAAAGGGCTGTATTTTAATTCACCCTCTCTGAATTCCTTTTCGTTGTAAGTGCCAATGCTGATGGATGCATAACTCTTCGACCGACAGCTCCAGTTGGCAGTTGTAAGTTCCTGTCTAGCATCTCTGGTGCCAGGATTAGAAGAGCCACTGATTATTTCTTCAGCTGTCAGTCAGCCAGGAAGATCCTTGTGTGCAAGATTAAAAGTGGACAGTGGCTTTCTCAGGCAAAAGGGAACAAAAATGTGGTCTCTTCCTGCAGAGGAAGGGATGGAGATGAATGTCTGAGATTCCATGAACATTGGCCTTGAGAGTGACATGACAATAAAGGGATTATTCTCAAGGTCCATCCTCCCTGATGCTTCCATCCGCTTGCCGTTTCAAAAAATAAAACAAAACACACTTTATTTCCTGGGTGCACATGGAACTTTTGTTGCTGGCTTCTGGCTTGTCTTTCTGTGGGATGGACTGAGATGACTCCAAATGTTGTCATCTCACTGCACATACTTGATTTGGATAATGAGCTTCCCTGGGGAATAAACTTTCTCCAGCTGTATTTGCCCATGTGCAGTGATAGTAGCAAAAGAAGCAGAAAACATATAGAATTAACACATAGATAATAACATTTATTGTTTGTTTCCTTTTTTCTAGTGCCAACTTTTCATGTTGGTCTTGTAAATAAAAACAGAGTGGTTTATTTTGTTTTCACTGGCAATAGCTGGTTTTGAAGAAAATTGCAACTTCTTGTGGATGTTTCAAATGATTATATTTGGCTCAATTATCCTTTCAACTAGAAACTAACCAAAGGGCGACTAGTTGAAACCACTGCCCTACTACTGCTGCCTGTTATTCTTCTTATACAGTGGTACCTTGGTTCTCAAACTTAATCCGTTCCGGAAGTCCGTTCCAAAACCAAAGTGTTCCAAAACCACGGTGTGCTTTCCCATAGAAAGTAATGCAAAACGGAGATTAATCCGTTCCAGACTTTTAAAAACAACCCCTAAAACAGCAATTTAACATGAATTTTACTATCTAACGAGACTATTGATCCATAAAATGAAAGCAATAATAATTGTAAACGTAAAGGTAAAGGTACCCTGATCGTTAGGTCCAGTTGCGGATGACTCTGGGGTTGTGCGCTCATCTTGCTCTATTGGCTGAGGGAGCCGGTGTTTGTCCGCAGACAGCTTCCAGGTCATGTGGCCAGCATGACTAAGCCACTTCTGGCGAACCAGAGCAGGGCATGGAAACGCCGTGCACTGTACTATAAAATAAATAAGACAGTATTGTAGATGGTAAAAATTAAAAATATTTTTTTCTTACCTGCACTGATGATAGTCATTATTTGGATGGGGGGCTTTTATCAGTTTCCTCAGTCACACAGTCAATCAGTAGCTGAACTGGGTTCCACACAGTCACAAAAACAAATTAACTGAAAAAGCCACTAAAACAAAAAACCAAAATAAATAGCAAAAACAAAAGCACCAAACTTAATCCGTTCCGGAAGTCTGTTTGACTTCCGAAATGTTCAAAAACCAAGGCGCAGCTTCTGATTGGTGCAGGCACCCCGGAAACAATAGTGGACAACCACATCGAATGTTTGATTTCTGAAAACTGGAACACTTACTTCAGGGTTTTTGGAGTTTGGGAACCAAGGTGTTTGAGAACCAAGGCATTTGAGAACCAAGGTACCACTGTAATTCACTCAGTATTCTATAGGAGATACCAGTTCCACACTTTCCCCCTCTCATATAGGCCCCCTTAAGTAGGTATTAGGATTTTGGTTTTCTGTTCAGATGACAAACTAACCAGCATAACCCAGGAGTATCAGCAAAACAGAAACATGCTGTCTATACAAATGGAAGTCTAAAGCCATTGTTACCTGCAGAAGAAAATATAATCTGCAAATAAATTAATTTCTGCACACTTTTAGCATTAAGGAATTGATATTATTGACATGTTCTCCTTTGAGAAGGGAATATTGTACATCTGTATCTGACAGATGTTTATAGGTGGACGGGCTTTAGAGCACCATACTAACGGTCTCAGGTTCTGCCCCCAATGTCTTCAGGAAATTGCAGAATGCACCAAAAATATACATTTCCTACACAAGAGACACAAAACTTTTTATTCCTAACTATACTAAAGCTATCCAATAGCAGCAATAGAAAGAAGCCTCTTCCCGAGTCCCTGAAGACACAACACTTGCCCAACACTAGATATTTTTCTATAGATTTACAAAAATGATTGGACGCAGAAAAAGGCAGATTCTGGTTTCCGGTCAAGAGTTGCAATAATAATGTTTATAACATTGTTCTGTGCCTAGCAGTAATTTTCCAGTCGCTTTGAGAAAACCACTTTATTATGATATTATGGGCAGTTAGATAATGCAGGTCAGGCTAGCCTCCTGATGCTGCAGCTCCTTGTATTCCTAATAGAAAACTGGACTTTAAGGCTGCAGTCCTCTAACCACACACCTGGGAGCAAGGCCCACTGAATGTATTAAGATTTACCTTCGGGTAATTGTGTAGCATTGCATTGTAAGGTACCCTAAGCTTTGTACTTCAACATTTTCCTGCATCTGCTCTTAAAATTTCTTGGCAAGCCGTGATACAAACACATCCCCTTATACCTTCCTAAAACTCTGCACGTCTTTGAACTCAGTCCAAACGTAAATATTCTTACAGCTGCTTCTAGTGTGTGACATATCTCCCTAGCAGCTGTGCTATTATTTTTTTAATGTTTCCTAGCATATGAAGACCAAAATTTAATCTTGTTTTAATCAAAACTCTTCAGAATGCCATGGCCTTAGAAGCATGCTTAATATGCAGATTGGCACCATTTTACAAAAAATGTCATGGAATGGTAGGAAGCAAGAGGGAAAGGACAACAGAGAAGACATCAGGAAGAGGGGATAATGACCCAGGGAAAAGGGAGGGTTGTATCTGCTGTTTCTCACATATTTTGTCCAAAGTTCATGTCAGTTTTTAGGTACTTGTATTCAGTGGATCGGGACGCGGGTGGTGCTGTGGGTTAAACCACAGAGCCTAGGACTTGCCGATCAGAAGGTCGGCGGTTCAAATCCCTGCGACAGGGTGAGCTCCCGTTGCTCAGTCCCAGCTCCTGCCAACCTAGCAGTTCGAAAGCACGTCAAAGTGCAAGTAGATAAATAGGTACCACTGTGGCAGAAAGGTAAACGGTGTTTCCGTGCGCTGCTCTGGTTCGCCAGATGCGGCTTAGTCATGCTGGCCACATGACCCCGGCTCCCTCGGCCAATAAAGCAGGATGAGCACCGCAACCCCAGAGTCGGTCCCCTAATGGTCAGGGGTCCATTTACCTTTACCTTTATTCAGTGGATAATTGCCCTTTTAACACCTTATACAGGGTAAAGTGTTGGGAGTAGGGACTGCAATGCTGATTGTTACTTTAGAACCAGCGATTAATTGTAGAGACCCATAGTAAGGATGTTCAAGAGTTACAAGTGTTAGGAAAAATGTTGAATGCACCTGCCCTGTAGGAAAGTCTGATAGCAGTCAATGCCACCCTTTTCATTCTTTACACCCCTGGAATCTTTGTTTTCAATGTTGTAAGAGAAGCTGTTGTATATATATTTTCTCTTCTCTTGCTTTTACCTCTGAATGCAGTAGCTACAGGCTATCATATTCACTGATGATCATGACTGCAAAAATATGAGACTTACTGGTATATCAAAATTAAGAAAAGACCAATAAATGGTTGCCAAATAAATGGTGTAGATCACCCACGTATGTGACACACAAAAAAGAGAGAGATAAAACAAGAGAGCAGGAACAGAAGGGGAGGGTAATTATGATGCAGCTTAATCACCTCTCCACTGGAGAAGATGAATGCCTCTAAGGATGGCAGGGGGGCTCTCCTGTGGCAGAGGCCTGAATGGATAAAAGCTCAGAAATAGGGCATTGTGGGAGCAAGGGGCCAGAGGCTATGAATCTGTGGAATTAGAAGCCATGTGGCTCACCCAATGGAGCTGGCACAGCAAAGATGGACAAAAAACCCTGTCCTTATTTTTCATCCTCACCAGCGGAAGTCAGATGTGGGTGTGACTCCCCAATTCTTCTCCTCCCTGACCTGGTTACGATTGCTCTGTCAAGCACCTTTCCTGCACACAGTTGCTAATATAGAGTCACTAAAGGACAAGAGCTGCTTTTTCCTATCTGGATAGATACATAAAGTTGAAGCAGCCATGGTGAAATTCCTTCCAAAATACTGAAACTAGAGAGGACAATCCAAGGATATTAAACACCCAGCAAATGTGGGGAAGTTATTAAAAACTTTCAATATGCTAAATAAGTCTTTGTTTTTAGGAGAAACCAGAGACCGTATAAAACAGCTGGGTTATGGAAAGTAGGTGGTTAAAAAAAATCAGTATTTTTATTCCTTCTTTCTTTGATGATTTCCCTCTTTCTCTGACAGCTCACTGTGCTGATAAATGTATCCATGGTCGCTGTATTGCTCCGAACACCTGTCAGTGTGAGCCTGGCTGGGGTGGACCCAACTGTTCCAGTGGTAAGTCTACATCTGCTACTGTCTGTCTGGGGCTCTGTCTGTTCTGTTCCCCTTCTTTGCAGGGAGATTTTAAAATCTTGTGCCAGGAATCCCCAGTGCCTGTCTGAAAAGTTAGCTCTGATTTACATGAAGGTATAGGATCTCTCTGTGTATGATTGTTTCTCTGTTTTCTCTTTATTAAATTAGGAAGTGCCAAATGTCAGCAGATAAAAACCCTACATTAATTTGTTTCCTGGCACACAGGACGTGGCTTTTAGCACTTGAATAGATGATATGAAAAGCTGCTATTGCAACAAAATAGCTTGAACAACCATACCTTTTCAAACTTCTAATATATTCAGGAGAATATGGTTTCATATTTAAAGCCAAAAGAAAGATGCAAGGGGGAAATTAACCACAGTTCAAATATTTTCAAAATCATTGTGTGTAGTATTTTATTACAACTGATGGACAAATAAGAGATACTACAGAGTTTGGGACGTTAAGAATAAAAACAAACGTATTTTGGGGGAAATCCATGAATTATTAAAAATGACAGAGTCAAAGACTACATGGTAAAATGGGCCCAAAATATTGGAGAAAATATTAAGTTGATGTTTGGGAAAGCCTTCGTTAAATGCATGTACGGTAAGTTCTCCTTGAATATGGGCATAAAAGAGAACTGCTTTAAATTCTTGTCCAGATGGCATATCACCCCTGAAAAATACATAGAATAAATAAAAACTATCTAGACATATGTTGGAAATATAAAAAAGAAGGGTATTCCCCCCCCCCCCACATGTGATAGAAATGTGAACTGGCAAAAAAAAAAAATTGGAGCAAGATAAAGGATCCTCCTTGGGTGAAATGGCCACCAATTTCTCATGTTTCGGATCTAATTTATCGATGAATTTTTTTACACTTTTGTTTGTTAAACTCAACTGTGTAAAATGCTACATTCTTGTATACTGAAACTACTAAGTAACATAGATAAATATAGCAAGGACACAGATTTAGTTTTGTTATGGTGATACAAGAAAAAAAGAAATGAGTAAACACAGCTATTTCACTTTAACTTGAGTATCACTAGGTGAATTCACATGTTGTTATTTACATAAATCCTTGTGATTCATACTTGACAGCCAAAAGTCCAAAAACTGGCATGAATTGGCCATCATGCTTATTATCTTATCACTTAACCTGTGAGTGTGATGAGCTTGTTGCCTTATTACTTTAACTCAATGTGCTTGCTCCAAACAGGACAATAACAGGTCAATTATGGCACTAAATTGTATTTAAGTTTTATGTGAAGTGGGACCGTTGAAATTAATGAACCTACATTTGCCATGCCGATTAATTTTAATGGGTCTCCTCTGAGTACGACTAGTGTTGGATGCATCTCAACCACTCTAGCAACAGTCAGTATATAGAAACTATCCCCAAACAAGGTACAATCGACTAGTGGGTCAATCCTAAAATATGCTCTCAGGAAGGTATTTAGAATGTGGGGAGATCTGTGTTATTCTAGTAACAGGGTAGCAGTTTGTCTGTTCTGGCTCCCTGGAAGTCTAGAAGAAAACGTAAGTGTGGGTTCTCATGTGCATTTCTTTCATGCTGTTTTCTTGGAGACGTTTTTACTGTTCCTTCAAATATTATTAAAACTGCAGCTGAAACTCAGCAAAAGATGCCTATGCATACCTGCAAAATGGGGCTTTCGTTCTTTTTCCTTTGCTTTTCTAATACGGAAGAAAGCACAGCAATTTAACCAAATTCAATTATCCACTGATTTCATTTTGAGGAACGAAGTCTTGTTGCTATGTTCTCCATAACTATTTTCTTCTTCCTTTCATTTCTGCTGGTGCTAAAGCTCTTTTTTCTGTCCCTGCTTTCCCTCTGTTCTTTTGCCACTTGCTGCTAATGTCATGGGGTTCAACAGTGCAGATACTGTGTTCTTGTCTCTGTGCAACAGAAGTCATGTGAAAGAGCCCTTGTTGCCGAGCCTGTACCTTGAATTGAGAGATCCCCTGGGATGTTAGTGATCCCCTGTAAAAGGTTTTTGCATACGAATTGCAACTAACTTGGTGCTTTTTTTAAAAAAAAACCTTCAGAAAAATTATACTTCAAGGACAGATTAGGAAAGAAAAAGGCATTTTGTTCACACGCAGTTGAGGCAGGGTTTGGGGAGAAGCAGCCTGGGCTTTCTGGCATGCCTCCATGTTCCCCTAGCAGACAAAAGAAGAATGAGATGCTGCTTTTATTGGATTGCCCTGCTGCAAATCAAATTGGCCATAGTCAAAACGAAGCAACGCTTTTAGCTTCCATAATTTGAGCTATGCTGTTTGTTATTATCTGAGCTGTAAGGCATGTGTGATTTCCTCATCTGTGTTGACAAATAGAGCTTTTCATTGTGAAGTGGTAGTAAGATTCTCACCAAATAAACAAATGAATGATCCTGGGAGAAAGTGCGTGGACATCTACTCTGTCCATCTGTAATTGGTTCATAGCATACATAGCATATTAAAACTTCCTTTAAGATTTTTTTGTAAATAACTAGGCGATATGTTCTGTCAAGCAAGACTGAACATTATTATCCTAATACTTGTTCCAGTACATGGCAAATATAATCCTTTTTTCATCAAACTTATTTTCTTATCATCATCAAACTTATTTTCTTATCATCACATATATAAAATGTGTATAAAAATGTGTTGCTTTGTTCATAAATTCAATTGTATATTGTGCTTTAAGCCATTCAGAAATTGTTGGAGCAACTGCTTTCACGTATACTCTTTTAAGTCAAACCTGCTACTTATACAAGAATAGCTACAACTTTTCTTTTTCAGACATATTAACAATGTGATTTTAAACATGTCTAATCTGTTAGAACCCTATAACTATCATAGCTATTCCTAATATCTGTTTCCATGATACGTAGGTATAATCCAATTAATCATTAACTTTAACATGTCAGAAAGCAAACTTGGATTTTAAGCACACACACACACTTATTTCTTTACATCTAGTTTGTATTTTGTTGCTTATCGGTCTTGTAGATGATCATTTTCTCAATTACTGGATAGCAAATGAAGTCACATCAGTTTTGATCTCTCACATAATCTGTAGTATGGTCCTTAATCCCCGTTTCGGTTTAGTAAAAATCGTGCACTGTTTCCTTAGGCTGCAGTTCTGGTGCAGCAAAACTAGACAGAGTGGTGGAGCCTCACCAGATCCATAGCTCTCTAATTATGCTGGCCAGGATGGAAGATGGTGGTAGTAAAAATTGCTGATGTTTGCTGCACCAGCTATAAAGGTAAAGGGTAAAGGGACCCCTGACCATTAGGTCGAGTCTTGGCCGACTCTGGGGTTGCGGCACTCATATCACTTTATTGGCTGAGGGAGCCGGTGTACAGCTTCCGGGTCATGTGGCCAGCATGACTAAGCCGCTTCTGGCGAACCAGAGCAGCACACGGAAACACTGTTTACCTTCCCGCTGTTTACCTATTTATCAACTTGCACTTTGACGTGCTTTCAAACTGCTAGGTTGGCAGGAGCAAGGACCGAGCAACGGGAGCTCACCCCGTTGTGGGGATTCAAACCGCCGACCTTCTGATCGGCAAGTCCCAGGCTCTGTTGTTAACCCCACAGCGCCACCCGCGTCCTGCACCAGCTCTAGGCTTCTCCAAATGGAAGTCCCAGATTAGGTTTAGGCTAATCTACGTGTTTCAGGATTGATGCTGGCTATTGCTTTCACCCATTTGCACTTTTGGTAGATGAAGAGAGTATCCTCTGCCACTTCGCCACAGAGGATTGGGGTTAGGATTGCTCTGTTAATGAAATCTTTATTTACTATGCAGCTGACATGCAACATGTCTGAAACCCTTATTTTACACCTTTTGATTTTGCATACCCTTGCAGCTAAAGAAATGATACAGCCTTTTTCTTCTTTTTGCTCTGGCACTTTCTTTGCAAAAACCCACTTTATAATGCTGAATCGGAATGAATGGTGATTCGAGTTTTCCATGGGTTGCTGCTTGCACCGATTAACTGGCAAAAAGCAGGGTTTTGTGGGGCCAAAATAAAGTGCTCGGACACAGTGCTTAAAAGCTTGGGCCCTTGCTTAGGAATGCAGCACCAAAGCGAGTCTGGATGAGCCCTAACTGATAGCATGAAGCTTAATTAAAGCTGAGTTCTTACTTAGGTCAAGGTAAAATAAAACTCCCTACTGACTTCCACCAAACCCCCCCTCCCACTATGGAAAACACTTCCTTGTGTTGAAGTGGGGCAAGGTTAAAAAAAAAAGCTTGTTGTGACTGATAGATAACATGAGGTAGCTTACAATAATGAATGATGCAACATGCAACAAAATTGCTGCTTTCTCATTGCGGGTCCCTCCAGACGTCATTTTGATTGTGCAATTATGATTTGTGCTCACGATAGTATCAGGGTGGTAATATATGATTCCGCTTTCAATACTGTTTGGACCTGCAAAAGTTTCAGAGTGAACATACTGCTTCATTCCCAGTCAGTGAATGTCCTGTAGCTTCCGGCTGAAATTATGTGACGTCATATCACATACTGCAAAATTTTGTAGTGCAAAATTGCCCCTCCAACAACAATATAGTAAGCAAAATAATCACCAAACAACTAATAATGTTGATTGATGTGTGGACAGCCCAGTATAAACACACTCTAGTACACTATTTTTGCAAGATGCATCTGCAGGGATGTTCACCTCTTTTCACTGCAACACCAGAGCCTTGTATTTCAGTAGTCCTAGCAGAGCCACCTGGTGCATTTTGCTTTCCTAGTCTCTCATTATAAAATGATTTCTAATCTCTTATCTGTTACGCCTGCATCCCTGCTTTACACATCATGTGTTTTTTCTTAGGTCAGCAAACATCTTGCTATACAATGACCTTCCTGCTGCTTCCAAACATTGCCCCTCTTACACCCTTCACAATTTCCCCTAATTTCTCCTTTGCCTTTGTTTTGAAATGGTAATTGTAGTAGTTTCATATTCA